TGCTGTTTGGTGTGGCCTATTATGCTAATGAACTCCTGCTGAGCTTTTTCTACAAAAAAAGCCCTGTGAAACACTATTCAGATTATCTGACAAATATTTACATTTTGCATTTTATTAACAAGCCACATTGTTCAGCTATTAAAATAATTAATAGCTCACAAAAGTTGTTTGTTGTAAATTCATGTTTTATTTTTAAGTTAATTATGTTACAGTATTATTCTGTGAATGTATGTATTATAGATAAATAAAAAAGTTTTGGTTTAAAAATACATTAAAATACACAAAAGGAAAAAGAAAAAGAAAATCAAAAAAGGGGAGAATAGATTTTGATTCCCATCTATAATCAGTACATCTTAATTCCCTATTCGCTCTCTCTATAAATCCATAAATGAACCCCCCTCTTTTATTTATATTTCTTTTCTTTTCTTTTTTTAACAATATTTTTATTATTTTCCAAACAAAAAAAGAAAGAAAAGTGCATATATTATCAACCATAAATTCTATACTGCAACTCATTTGAAGGATTATACAACAATTTTTCACTTATCCCTATATTCATCTCTGACCAGTCATTAACTAATGAATTTATAGCTTGTATATTTTCCTTTATCAAGTTTCAAAATATATTGTTTACTGTTAAATTCCACAGCTGCATATTATCTTATCTCTGATGCCAAAAATAACTCATATAAATAATTTCAGGCCAAACTTTAGCCATTACATTTGTAACTTACTCCTATTACAGTGTCTTATTTCAAAATATATTAATTACTACTAAGCTACACCTCAACATATTTTCTAATCTGCAAACATCCAGAAGAGCAATACAAGCCAAACAAACATTTAAAAAACCCCAACAATATCTGACAGAACAATTATTTGGATTAGAACTAAAATACCGTATTGTCTTATACAAATATGTACTAACTAGGAAAAAGGCCCGTTGTGGAAATAAATACAACGACCTCTAGAAAGATATTTTCAGCCATTATTCCAGTTTCATCACCACCTATGAGGTTTTGGTTTAAGCAGCCACAGATCCCACTCTGGGACACACCTAGGGAATAAAAACTGTACACCAAAGATCTCTCTGCAAGATATTAATAAAGAACATTAAGAATACACAGTGTCAGAATTATGCTCTTCTAAGTGCAGTATCTAAGTGCAGATCTGGTACCATGGACTGAGGCTAGAGAGGGAGAAATCCTGGTGAACAATAGCTGAATATTAATGAGAGAATAACAGTACCAGAACGTGGAGGGGGATGCACATTCTAATGAAAGCAGCATGGTACAGATGGGTATCCTCTCTTGGACACACACACACATATATACAGATCTAGATATAATTCTGATTTAGGCTGCAGGTTCTAACCTAAACAAGGCCATCTGCATGCAAAAGATGTTTCCTTTCAAGAATCTCCATTCTGGATCAGCAGTTTCAAGCAGAAATTATATGGTTTCTTTATTTACATATATTTATTAAATGGACAACCTTAAACATACACACACAAGTAACATTATTAAAAACACAGCATTATAATGATTGTTGTCATCATATGGAGGAAGATCATATAGCAGTTCTTCTAGATTTAATACATTTTTTATTCCCCAGGAATTAAGTTACACAAAGTTCTTTTTAAACAAATCCAAAAGTCAGTCCAAAAATGTATTCATCTTTCTTCAAAACACCATAAGTGCAGATCATTTGATTCTTTATGACATCAAATCATTTCTTCATCTCAGCCTCTTCCTGCTCTAATGAAATGACTCAGTATGACTTCAGTGGGGCAAGGATCAAGCCCCAATTTAAGAACTAAATGGCTCAGTCTTGCAAAACCTGATTTCCATACCATATTTTCTTTCACACTGGCTGCAATAACCGTATAAGTGAAGGCAAATTCTCCTCCCAGCAAGTCTTTTCCTGACTGAACTACACAGAAAAATTTACTGTAAAAGGTTCCTCTACATCTCTCTCTCTCTCTCTCTCTCTCATTTTATTCTTTCTGCCCACACAACCACCTCTCAATTCTAAAAGCAGACATCAATTTTAAATGCAGGCAGGGTGTCAATGTCCCTGGTTTTCCATCATTCCCTTTCTAGAGCTTCCGTTCTTAGCTCCCCCCCTCCCAACGCTGCCTGTCGCCTGCTCCCTCCCAGACGGCCTTGTTCTTCCAGGTCAGCTCCGTACACACCTTCTCTGCCTATTCATCCAGGGTGTGTGTGTGGGCGAGAGAGACGATTTAAGCCCTGTCAAGGCAACCGACTGGATTTCGCCGTCAACAAGGGGGAGAACTGCTCCAATGCACAAACTCCATCAAAATCCACATGCACAACTCCTCCCTGAGACGAAGGCAATACACGCACACGCGCGCACCCACACCAGGCCTTGTTTAGCTCCCTCATCTCTCCTCGCTATGCACGGCTTCAAACACCGCTGCCGCACCAGATCACAAAGGCCCTGTCTCATGCATCAGCAGCAGCCAAGGTCTCGCTTCTCTTCTTCCTTCCTGCTCTTCCCCAGCCAAGCCGAAACCTGGTCCGACAAGCACCCCTCCGGTCACCTCGCTCCACGCCCCCATCCGTCCCCTCCCCAAATCGCCCCGCGAGACCCTCACCGCTGCCTCCCTTTTTTCACACACCCCCGGCCAGTCTTCTTACAACGACACCCTCCCCAGTCAAACCCAAGGCCTTTCTCGTCTTCTTCCCCTCATACATGGCGACACGATGAGAGGAAGGAGGAGGAAGGAAAGAAGGAAGGGCTGGGTGTTAGATCGCGCTAACAAAGGACTCGTACAGTGATTCAGCAAGTGATTCAGCTTTATTGGAAGTAACGAGCAAGCACTCAACTCAGTAAGAAACCAGAACAGAAAACAGTGGGAGCTTATGCTCCTTTTAAACATAACCGGGCTAATGTAGCCACGCCTATTTACAAATAACAACCAATGAGATTGCTCTGCTCGTCACTGTCCTCTCCAAACGCCATCTTCTTTTCACAACCCATTCTTTTTCTGCCTTATTTATTCATATTGCAATAGTCCCAAATCTTGTTCTGTTTACTCAGTTTAACCGCTACAAATCCTTGCTGAAAATCAACTTTTACCCCACAAGAAAGAAGAAACATTTGCCCAGTTGTTCATCTTGATCAGCTTCCGGCCGCTTCTCACTCAACTTTAGAGTTAAAGCCGTCTGGGATATTTCCCCCCCCCACAAGTCACTGCTTTTCTTCGAGTTACAAATGCAAAAACATGTTCTCACTTATTCTTCTTTTTTTTCCCTTCTCCGTGTTGCTTTATTATAAATTATAATTCCCAAGGTGGTTAAAAAAGGCTGGCTGCAGCTAAGTAGAATATGGCGTCCATGCTCTACCCCACAAACCGCTCCCGCTTCAGGGCAGCAACGGACACCCCCCCGCATTTGCTGGTTGCAGGAGGGGCCGAGGCAAAGCCCCCTGCCACCAGACCTCTCTATGGGAAGTCTGGCGGAGCACACCCGAAAACCAGGCAGCCCCAAAAAGAGCGATAAAGGGTTCGGGCGGCTCAGAGTGATCCGAGAGCCGCCCATCGCCACGCCGTCGGCCACCAGCTATTTATATTTCATTTCTCACCCTCTTATTCTTCAATATTGTATGCCAATAAAAGGTATTTGACTTTGACTTTGAAACTCATAAATCATCAGCTCATTTTTTCCCCATTTTCGGCAAAAAAGTCCATTAGAGGTTTCCAGTTAGCTATAAATGTATTTAAAGTTTTTTCTCTAATCACAGAAGTAAGTTTATCCATCTCCGCTAACTCCATCATCTTCACCATCCATTCTTCTATTGAAGGTATTACTGCAGATTTCCATTTCTGAGCATATAGTAATCATGCCGCCGTTGTCATATACAAAAACAAAGTTTCATGTGTTCTTTCTAATCCCAACAAAAAGCCTCTGGTTTCAACTGTATTATATATTAATCTTTAAAATTGTATATTAATCTTTAAAATTTTCTGAATAACGGAATGAATTTGCATCCAAAATTTTCTAGTTTTAGTACATGTCCACCATGAATGATAAAATGTCCCTTCTTACTCTTCACATTCAACACTTATTTATTTATTAATTAAATATTTACCCTGCCCTACCCCCAAAACTGGGCTCGGGGCGGCTCACAACATAAAATCAGCAACAATGAGAACAAACAATAAAACAATCAATAACGATAGCAGATCAGCCAAACCCCCACACATTATAACATAATTACCCCAAGAGGCTCCAGTGTCCTAAACTCCAGTGTCCAGATGGTGTCCAGAAACAGTAGGGCATTTTTAAACATTTTAGCTAATTTTTCTGCAGACATATACCATTGAAACATCATTTTACTTTCTAAAAGTTCTCTTTTACATTAGTACTTAGTGTGCATTTAAGACCCTTTGACCACATATTTTGCCATTGTTCCAAGTGTATATTATACCCAGAAAATTAGCTCATTTACCATACAATCCTTAATTTGTTCTTCCTCTGTCTCAAATTTCAGTAACAATTTATACATTTTTTGCAATAACATTAAATCTCGTGGCGTTGTGCTTGACAGGTGACCTCATCTCCTCTTCCCCTGGGCAGGTTGCTAATTTGGTACAAATGAGACTTTCTTCTCTTCCTTTTCCTCCCAACAGACATTGACGAGTGCCAAGAGCTGCCAGGCCTCTGCCAAGGCGGGAATTGTGTCAATACCTTTGGGAGCTTCCAGTGTGAATGTCCCCTGGGCTACTACCTTAATGAGGACACTCGGATTTGTGAAGGTACCGCGTCGGTGTTTTTTGAGATGAGAGCGCGAGATGTGCTAGCTGCAGTCACGGAGACAGCTCATACAGTTCTAGGCACCAGTATCATGTCTTGAGCATGGAGAGAAATAGAGAAATACAGAAAGAGGCAGAATTATTAGAATGGAAATTATTGTTCCTTGATTCCCCACTCCTCCACATGCAGCCAGCTGGGTGACCTTGGATCAACCATAGTTCTCTCAGAGCTGTTCTCTCAAGAGGAGTTTCTCCCAGAGCTCTCTCAGCCCCAACTGCCTCACAAGGTGTCTGTTGTGGGGAGAGGAAGGGAAGGCGATTGTATGCCGCTCTGAGACTCCGAGTGAAGGGCGGGAATATAAATCCAATTACTACTTCTTCTTAATTACAACCTCTGATTCTTTAAAAAGAATTTGCAGATCAGGAATTCTGGATTCTTTGTGGTTTTAGCTACTTTTAGAGTTGGGTTTTAGCTACTTTTAGAGTTCATCTATGCAGAAGAGAGGGATTGTCTAAAGTTCTCCTAATCTAAATGTCTCTTTGTCCCTTGGAGCTGTGCTGTATGTGCTCCTGCTGCTGTCCTGCACTGTTCCACGTCTGAGTCAGGGTGTTTTTCAAGCAGGGGCTGCCCGTGCCTGAACTCCAAGTGGCAGAATCACCGCTTGGAGTTCAGGGAAGGCGTGCGGCTGCCCCTCTCTCTCCCTTCCTGCAAGATTTAAAGGGCCCTCCGGCTGATCAGCGGGCCACATGCTCCCATCGATCAGCCGGAGGGCCCTTTTAATGTCACAGGAGGGAAGGGAGGGAGAGAAGGGCAGCAGCTGTTGTGGGGCATGCCTCGCCTTTGAGGGGGCAGAGCCCCAAGATGCCCCACCAAAGCTATGAGCCTGTTCTGAGCGCACAAAGCATGAAACCAAGGCTGATCCCCAATGCTCCAAATCATGGCTTGTGGAAGAATAAGAATGTTAAATTGAGTGTCGCCCTCCTTCCTGGAGCTGAGAGTGCTGTTATTGCCCGGCATATGTGGGCTACAGATCAAGACATGCTGGGGTAACCATCTTGCTTTTTACACACACCCTTCAGATATTGATGAATGCTCGGCGCACATAGGAATCTGCGGTCCGGGGACCTGCTATAATACCTTGGGGAACTACACCTGCGTCTGCCCTCCAGAATACATGCAAGTGAACGGAGGGAACAACTGTATGGGTAAGGAGCAAGGGGCTATATACTCAGGAATGTCAAGCATTTGAACATTAAGACGATCCCTGCTGGATCGGACCTAAGGTCCATTTAGTGCATCACCTTGGTCCCCAAAGTAGGCAAACAGATGACTCCAAGAAGTCCTCAAGTAAGGCAGAATGACGTCTCTGTTCCCTCTCCCCCCAAACTGCTTCCCCCCCCCCAGTATCCACAGCTGGTTTTGACTCCGAAAGTTACTTTCTTAGCTTGCCCAGCATTTCAGGACTGGATTCTTCCAAGAAGCCCAGAAGTCAAGGCATGAAGGCAGTGGGTGACTCAGAGGCAGACTGCTCCTGAACATGGGGGCACTTCGCTACACTTAGCTACAGCAGCTAACTGATATCTACATGATTCGTTTGGAGATTTACAACCAGCCTTTCTGCTTTTTACAAGGGGGGGGGGGGGATGGGACCAAAGCTCCCTCCAAGCTGTGGAGTCTTGTGAGCCAAAATTCTACTTTGTGAACTACTAGCAATAAAACTGTGAGCAAGTGATTTGGCTGCTGCATAAATTAGTTTGCTCTGGAGTCATCCTTCCTGAGAAAAGACAAAAATGTGTGAGCCGGAGGCTAAAAAACTGTGAGCTAGCTCACACTAACTCAGCTTAGAGGGAACACTAGATGGGACCCATGGCAGCTTAGGAGAACCAGTTTGCTGTAGTGATTTAAGTGCGCAGACTCTAATCTGGGAGAACCGGGTTTGATTCCCCACTCCTCCACTTGCAGCTGCTGGATGACCTTGGGCAAGCCATAGTTCTGGCACAGCTGTTCTGGAAAAAGAGCCGTTAGTTTCTATCAGAGCTCTCTCAGCCCCGCCTCCCTCACAGAGTGTCTGTTGTGGGGAGGGGAAGGGAAAGCCGCTCTGAGGCTCCTTCGGGTAGTGAAGGGTGGGGTATAAATCCAATCTCTTCTTCTTTTTCTTCTTCTTCTATATGTCTTTTGTCAGGTCCAAATGGCAGGCTTGGGTTTGGAAAATTAAGTGAATTTTTAGGAATGAAAACTGTCCTCTAGTATCACCATCAAGGGAACAGTAGCCACGCCTATTCGGTGATTGTAAAGGTGTTAACTGAATGAACAGCCAGAATAGCCCAGACCAGCCTGTGCTCATTAGATGTTAGGAAGCTAAGCAGGGTCGGCCTCTGGCTAGTACTTGGATTGATAATTGTAATAGTAATTGGATTACTCTTGAGGTAATTGTCATTGCAAATGCCTTGTTAAAAATGACAATGAATGAGTCAGGAGAAAAAAATATCTATTTGTTTTTACACAATATGTTTAATATGGATGTCCTCGGCCCCGGTCACACGGGCAGGAAACTGCAGAGGAGAAGCGTGGCTGTTTGCCCTGGGGCAAACTACTGCGCGGTTACGTGATCAGACCTCCCGTGGAGGTCCTGTGGAGGTACCGTGGAGGTTCCATGGCAAGGGAGAGGTGCCGATCACAGGACAAGCCGGCGCACAACGAAGAAGCGCGCGCCGCGGCAAACTGTTTTTTATTTTTGTGTACATGACAAATGCGCATGCTCCGTTGGGTGCGCATGTGCATCCACAGAGACTTGGACAAAAAAACCCACCTTATTTGCAAGGGGACATGGGCGGGCGCCGGCTGCCACCGGAAACGCGATCAGACGCCCACCCTTGCCCCGCAGTTTCCGGAAACTAGTACCTCCAAGGTACTAGTTTTTTGCCATGCAGTTTCGGCTGGAAGCCTCGGTTGAGCCACGGGAGTGCTACGCTTCCCAGATGTGCTGGTGAGATCGCGCCCGGAAACTCCGGCTGTTTTCCATCTCACTTGTGTGGCTTCTGTTACGTGTGACCGCAGCCCTCGATCCATATCTCCCTCTTCCTTTTCTGTTCTTTGTATCCATAATATTCTTTTTAAAAAATCGCAGCTTCTTTGCCAAATTAAGATGCTGTGCACCAAACCAGAGTTGATGGGCAGCTCACACCTCAGGTCTTGCAAGGAGAATTTCTTGGACCACCAAAGAAGACCAGAGTTGCTGTGCAGAAGGCAGTAGCAAATCCCCTCTGTTTGTCTCTGGCCTTGAAAGCCCCAAGAGGGGTTGCCATAAATTGATTGCGACTTGATGACAATTAGTTGTTATTATTATTACTTAATTAAGTGTTCTTGATAAGGTTCTTTTTCTTGTAATGGTTGGGATGAAGGGAGGCTTTGGCCCCGGTCACACGGGCTGGATATCGCGGGGGGAAGGCGTGGCTAATTGCCCCAGAGGAAACTAACATGCGGCCACCCAAGCACACGTCCCGGTCGAGGTCCTGTGGTTAGGGGAGAGATGCTGACCAGACGGGTATCCTGCAGCGCGGCACAGAAGCCGCTCCGCGCGATCGCACTAGCAATCGCTCTTTGTGCGCATGCGCTGTTGGGCGCTGTTGCGCAACCTGCAGAGACGGGCGCCGGATGCCATGTAAGTCCACCGGAAACGCGATCAGACGCCCACACTTGGCCCGCGGTTTCCGGAAACTAGTACCTCATAAGTACTAGTTTTTTAATCCGCACCTTCGGCGGGGAGCCACGGGTTCGCCACGGGAGCACTGCGCTTCCCAGATTTTGGGGTGTGATCGCGCCCGGAAAATCCGTGGGACTCCCATGCCTCTCCCATGGCAACTTTGCCGTGTGACTGGGGCCTTTGTCTGGGGTGCAAATCCTTTATCGTGCTGTGGGGAAGGGAGAATCGGCAACTTGTTCTGCAAAAATTTTGCAGAATCTGCAGGATTCTCTCTTCTGCTCAGCTAGTCGAGGTGAGACACGTCCCCTGGGCCTGGCAGGCCGAGACATCTCTGGGGAGAGACTTCATTATTTGCTTGCCCTTTTCAGACATGCGGAAGAGCCTCTGCTACCGCAACTTCAATGACACCTGCGAGAACGAACTTTCGTTCAACATGACCAAGAAGATGTGCTGTTGCTCCTACAACATTGGGAAAGCGTGGAATAAACCTTGCGAGCCCTGCCCCACCCCCGCCAGCCGTAAGTGATCGGGCCCCGTAAGGGGAGACATGGGAGGGGGGGCTTGTGGTCTCTGAATCCTCTTGGGTCACTTTGGCAAGAGCTGAGTTTGCTTAGGCTAAGACCACCTGGACAGATTTCCTCTCCACTGCCAGCTGTTTCCATTTAGCCTTATAGTCACTAGTCTGAAGCAGAGTTCGGTGCATGCTAAAGTGCTTGTTCCTAAACCTGAGCTGCTGGCCAGCTCACACCTCAGGTCTTGCAAGGAGAATTTCTCCTGCCACATTGTTAAACGTAGCCAAGCCATTATTTCAAACCCTCTCCTACAGCTGTTTCATATTTTGATTTATTCCGCTACTGGCTTTTTGTATGTTTCTCAGTATAATTTCAACCATGTCTGTTTGCATTTGTTTGAGCATTCATTTTAATCTCTTATTGTTGTAAATTACTTTACAACTTGTAAGCCTCCCCTTGATTTTTTCCCCATTGAAATGAAATCAATAAAATCGGAGCTCCACAAGGTTTAGTAAATGGCTAATATTAATCTACCACAGTTCATATTATCTATGAGGTACGTAATATAAATAGAAATCGGAATAGATCTACAATATATGTTGTTTATTATTTTCTTTACTATCTCTCTGCTCTCTTGAGGTAATTGTCATTGCAAATGCCTTGTTAAAAATGACAATGAATGGGTCAGGAGAAAAAAATATCTATTTGTTTTTACACAATATGTTTAATATGGATATCCTAGATAAATGTAAATATTTTCTATAAGCTTTTCTCCCCACCTCCCTCTTCCTTTTCTGTTCTTTGTATCCTTAATATTCTTTTAACAATAAAAAATTAAAATCGCAGCTCCTTTGCCAGATTCAGATGCTGTGCACCAAACCAGAGTTGATGGGCAGCTCACACCTCAGGTCTTGCAAGGAGAATTTCTCCTGCCTCGCTTCAGAGAAGCTGAGCATAGAGTTGGAAGGGGCCATGCAGGCCATCCAGTCCAACCTCCTGCTCAATGCAGGATCAGCCCTAAAGAATCCCTGACAAGGGTTTGTCCAGCTGCTGCTTAAAGAGTGCCAGTGAAGGGGAGCTCACCACCTCCCTAGGCAGCCAATTCCACTGTTCAACTACTCTTACTGTAAAAAAGTTGTTTCCTAATATCCAGCCGGTCCCTTCCCGTCCTTCATTTCAACCCATGACTGCGAGTCCTCTCCTCTGCTGCCCACAGGAACAGCTCCCTGCCCTCCTCTAAGTGACAGCCCTTCAAATACTCAAAGAGAGCAATCCTGGGGGTCCCCCCCACCTCCTGCAGACGAAATGTTCCCACGTACCTCAGCCTTTCCTCATAGGGCTTGGTCTCCAGGACCAATAGCTATCCAGCAGGAACTCCAGCAGCTATCCAGCAGGAACTCATTAGCATAATAGGCCACACCCAACAGCAGGAACTCATTAGCATATTAGGCCACACCCCATACCTTCCCTTGGCTTGCCCAGGCACCCCATGGCTGTGGGGCACCCGGGCAAGCCGGCCCTTAGACAGGCTGGGGGAGGGCGGGGGAGGCATTTAAATCCTCCCCAATCCTTCCAGGGGGCCCCCTGGCCCACCCGCCTCAGAGTCGTCGGGGGGGGTCACTCTCCAGGCCTTCCCTCTGTAGCCATGCACGGACAGAGGTTTTGGCTGTAGTGGGCTTGGCCAACTCTGAAGCCAGCCAGAACTCCATTCCTGTGTGTTCCTGCTCCAAAATAGCCCTGACTATCCCTTTCTCTTGCAGCTGAGTACCAGATCCTCTGTGGCAACCAGGCACCTGGATTCATCATTGATATCCACACTGGAAAACCAATTGGTAAGTGAACCCCAAACCGCAGTCTTCGTTCCTTCTTCTCTTCCCCTCTTCTGGTAAGAAAGTTTTCTAAAAGCAGCTGTCTCTTCCAAAACATGAACAGGCTGAGACTGTCTAGGAGTGATCTTGCGGCCATGGTGGATCATTCATGGAAATCATTGACTCGATGCGCAGCAGTGGTACGAAAGGGCAAAATTAACACTAGGGATTATTAGGAAAGGCTGAACGCAAAACAGTATCATACTGCCCTTGGATAAATCTCTGGTGTAGTCATCGGGATAGCGTATTCCTCTGTGATAAGTTGTGTTTGCTTAATTGCCATAAGGGGGCCTTGGCGATTTATCGGGGTTTGAACTTTTGTTGGCCGCCATGCAAACTTTCGTGATTGGCTTTCCTATCTTGAGAGCCTTGTTTTCAAGCGCCGATTTCTCAGTCTTGAAACAACCGTAAAAGCAGTGATGAATTGTTGTTCCAGAACTATGTAAGGGTGGAGAAGCACTACAAGTGTTGTCTTAAGTAACATGTGTATCGTGCGAATATCGGTGGCGCAGGTAGTTAAATGCCTGCCTTGTAACATCATTCGAACAGCCACTATGGCTGTTCGAGTACCACCATGGTCGAGGTGAGCTCTCGACCTTCGTCCCAGCTCCCGCCCACCCAGCGGTTCGAAAGCAACTTAATTGCAAGTAGATAAATGGGTACCCACCCTTAGATGGGTGGGGGGCACCCTGTATGGCGGCTGGAAGAACGACGGCGGCGATGATGGCGGTGGCGAGTACCGGCTCGAGACGGCAAAACAGCAGACGGCGTGGTGGCGTGGCGGCGGCAGACAGACGCGATCGAGGTCCGCACCAGCGATCCCTGGTGGCTAGGAAGAGCACATCGAGGCTGCCGCGGAGAAAAGAAGATGCGTGCGCAGACGCCCAGCACCAGCCCTGCGGAGCCGGAAGGACGTGGCCGGGCCGGAAGCAGGCGGAATCGCACGCAGAAGAGGAAGAGAACAGCCACCACCAAACACCGAACGCCGGAAAAAGACGCCTGCCAGCCGGAGACCCGACCGAGCCGAAGCCAAAAAGCCAACGGAAGAAAGAACAACGACCGCCATAGGGGGGTGCTGGTAGGTTCCCCCATCCCCTACACATTGTGGCCCTAGTTAGGGAAAAAGGGTGACTAGCACCACTAATATCTGTAAGCCGCTCAGAGACCCCTTGCTAGGGGTTCGAGCGGGGTACCAAATCGAAGGTTAAATAAAATAAAATAAATATACCGTGAATTTGTTTACAGCTTAGTTGTGAGCAAACAGGAAACACCTTTTTATATTGGTGAATGACATGTGGCTCCCTTGGGTTCTCCCGGATTAAGGTGGCTTGTGTGTTTGTGTTACCTTTATATGTTGGCCGTTGTCATGTCTCTTCATGTGACTAATCTGTCAATGGTAACCACAGGGTTTGATCTTTGTAAAAAAAATAGTTGGGTGCCCTGTCATTAAAAAGGCCATTGCAGAGTTGGACAAGGTGCAACCAGAAGTCTAAGAGTTGGAGCACCTTCCTTATGAGGAAGTTTGGGGTTTTAAAAAATTGTTTTAGATAAAGTATGCCTCATGCGGAGACAGAGATATTTGAAATTCTGCATTTGGTAGAGAAAGTGGATAGAGAGTACTCCCCCTTTGCTAATACTAGGAGTCACCTAAGGAAACTGAGCAGTAGTTTCAGGACAGAAAAGAAAGTACTTTCCACAATGCATAAGTAACATATGGAACTTGCTGCCACAGGATGTTGTGTTCATTAACTGAGACAGTTTGAAAAAGGGGCTGAGTAAATGATTGGAGAAAGAGAGATCCCGCGATGGCTTGTTCATCTATGCCAGCTGTCATGGCTCAGGTGGGGTTTCACCTGACGCTGCCACCACTCTGGATTTAGGATCCCTTGAGAAGGCCCAGAGCACCCTCCCAAGACCTTCAGACCTCCCTTTTGGCTGAATAATAGGCGTGAGGACCAGGCAGAGTGAACAATGAAAATAGTTTATTTTATAGGAGGTCAAACAACAAGTTGCAGAATAATAACAGTAAGTGGGTGAAAAGAAAAGAAATCAAATGCCCTAATGCGTCTAAATATATACTGTCCCTAGCTCACTATCTCAAGTGGCCTTAGACTACTCACCCTTCCCTTAGGATGAGGGTTTCTTCCCCACAGCAGCCTCTCTTCTGGCTCTGTTTCCTGGGAAGAAGAACAGTTTTTTCTCTTGTACCAGTTCTTATATTCCCCAGCTCTCTTCTTCAAAATCTGCACCAAAATTTCCCAAGGCCTTCTGGGGTTTGTAGGGCCAGCCTCCCCTACTGCTAGCCAGGCTCTCTGGGCCTAGTAGGCCTCTGGTGGCACAGCCCAGATCATGACACCAGCCTAGGGAAGTTTCTGAATTAGCAAGGTGTGGGAAAAGACTGGGACTCGGGGAGTGGGGAGAACCATCTTCTGTCCAGTAAATCAGCTGCAAACGTCATCAGATCACCTTCTCCGAAGACTTTTCCACATTCTCATTTTCCTCTCTTGGGTGTTCAGGGGGGTGCTGTTTCACACATGTTTAGCTCCCTCTTGTGGTTGATTCAGTGTTATGTCACTTTATGTCCAGCATAACTTGCCGTTTAAATCTGCGGGGAGATATGCAAGACCTAAAGCAATGTAGTATCCAGTCGACCACTAGAAGGAGCAAAACATGCGCAGAACAGGAAAAACCCTGAAGCAACGGGGACACACAAGAGAGGGAAATGAGAATGCAGGAAAAACCTGAGTTGTCTGTACCTTTGGAGGCTAGGTATGAGTCTTCCAGAAAAAGGACCTTTTCAATGGTGGCCCCAGCAAGGTTCTTCCAAAGCCATTTTTGTTGTCTTTTAGGTGCCAGGCAAACTCTATCCTATAAGGTCTGAGTTTGTTACCTTGTATCTCAGTGCCAGACCTTCAGTCACCTGAAACTGTGCCACTCATCCTTATATGTGTTTCAAAGCGAACATGGGGGGAAATTGCAGAAATTGAATGGAAGCACATTTACAGGGTGCTATAAGATAATATGATTTAGAATAGGAAGTAATTCTTAGTTAGTAATATAATGGGTATAATAGGAGTTAAGGGATTAGTTTGAGAATACTTTCTATTATTAATAAATAATTGTAGGATTGTTGGAAAATAAGGTTAATGTTTTGTATTATTGTGCACTACAGAAATTAATAAATTGTGAATTAAAAAATATGTGTGTTTCAAAGTCTGTGCTACCATTTTAATCTGAATCACCATTTGATGAGAGAATATTGATTTGGGGGCTCTGAATTCTGAACCTTCTTGGATACTCATTGGGACTGGGGATTGGTAAGACTGGGAAGGTTCTGTGGTTCTGCCTGGCCCCTCACCACTACTTTAGTAGGGGTCTGACAATTTCCACTGTCCCTAATTTGCCATCTCTCTGCAGATATTGATGAATGCAGCGAGATCCCGGCCATCTGCACCAACGGGGTTTGCATCAACCAGATTGGCAGCTTCCGTTGCGAGTGCCCCATCGGATTCAGTTACAACAACATTCTGCTGATCTGTGAAGGTAGCGTACAGGGCCACGGGTGGGGGGGATTGGGGGGGAAAGGAGATGAGTGCAAAAGAAGTGCAGCAGTGCTGAGGTCAGCAAAGGTAGGAAGAAGAAGAGGAGGAGGAGGAGGAGGAGGATTTATACCTCGCCCTTCACTCTGAGAATGTGGGGCCTGCAAAGTAAGTTTGCATATACATCTTTCTCTCTTCCCCTCGTCCTTCAGACATTGATGAGTGCAGCAGTGGAGAAAACCTGTGTCAGCGCAATGCCGATTGCCTGAACATCCCAGGCAGTTACAGGTGCGAATGTTCCTCTGGATACAAGCTGTCGCCCAGTGGAGCATGTGTAGGTAAGACTGGGAAAATTATTTTGCACCCCAGGAATCAAGGCCTCTTACTAGGCAATCAGTAGCCCCAAGGAATGACTGTTGACTCTAGGGCTTTGCCTTCAGCCATTACTTCATGTAAATCCATGATCAGGCGTGTGCCATCTGGAAGGCATGAACATGTTTATGTATGGCCGTTTACAATGTTGACTGAGGGCTTTCCTGCATTCTCATTTTGCTTGCTAGAAATTCCTGTTTCTTGGGATGGGCTGTTCTGCATGCGTCTTGCTCCCTCTAGTGGTTGATTTGATATTATAGTGGTTTATGTTCAGCATAAAAACCTGTATTTCAAATCGGCAGGGAGATAGGCTGAAAATAAACTGGTAATATTGAATCAACCACTAGAGGGAGTAAAACATGGGCAGAACGCCCCCCCCCCCCGAAGAAACTGGACCTTACAAGCAAGGAGAATGAGAATGCGGAAGTGCCCCAAATGTATCACCAAAAATCTCCCCTACCCCCCCACCCCCAAATTTTGAAGTTTTGAATTAGCTGGTTGTGTTTCTTTAGTGGGAAGCCGGTTTTATTTCTTAAGTGGGACCAATGAATTATAAGTCCTCTATTGTTTCATTCATGCACCATTCCATTGTTTCGTTGTTCCATCCATTCAACATGGCTTTCAGTTCCTTCTGTGCACTTGTGTCTATTTCCCCCTCTAATGTAACTGATGTACACTGGCACATATATAACATCTGCAAAAGAGCAATCTCGATGGGATGGTTTCAAGACTCCTTGCTGTATTGTCCCAGCACCCAGCAGCACATGTGCACATCATTAAACAACACACAGAAAGAGTTATATGCATAATTTCATCCACATTGCTTTTTGTCTGTGTTTTTTCAAAGCGTGCATGTGCATTGCTGTCAGAGTGGGGAAAGACACACAAGAAAACAAAGAACCACTGTGCATGCTTTGATTCCGGAATTACTTTTATAAATACTGTGATAAACTGGACTTAGAGGTATTTGTGAATTTCCTGCACTGTGCAAGGTGTTGGACTAGAAGACCCTGGAGGTCCCTCCCAACCCTATGATTCTATGAAACATGACCTTATATTTGCCATCTCTGTAGAAGACAAATTAAATAGCATCCTGGGGGGATGTTGTTTCTGTGCTTGGCCACAATGTCTCAGTGACAGAAGATCTAGATGGCCTCTTCCTTGATTTTCTTTTTCCTGCCCTTCTTGAGTCTCCTGCTTCGAACTGTTGCCTTGTCCCAGTGTCAGTTACTACATCTGTAAAATGGGTATAACGTCTAGGCTTCTCGTAAGAACTACGAAGACCCTTGCAAGCCAAGTGCTGTAAGAGACAGTGGTGCCTCCCCCAAGGAGGGGGATATCATGGGAGGGTTTCCCAGAGTTCTGTCTGCTTTCCAGGGATGGTGCACAGAGCTTCCTTCTTTCATGGGTCTGGGTTCTTGCTTGCTTTTTCACTTTCTTCCAGGCCGTAATGAATGCCAAGAGATCCCCAACGTCTGCAGTCACGGGGACTGCGTTGACACAGAAGGAAGCTACCTTTGCATCTGCTACAACGGGTTCAAGGCCACCGGGGATCTGACCATGTGCATGGGTGGGTAGGCGTCTGGGGGACGGGGGGAAGCATTGCCAATGTAATTTAATTTATTGAAAGGATTTATCGACTGCCTTCTTACTTGAAAACAAAACCTGACCATGTGGTTTAGTGGCTAGAATGCCACACTAGGTTCTGGGAGACCCAGATTCGAATCCCCATCTTGCCATGGAAGTTTGCTGAGTGCCCTTAGGCCAGTCACACACACTCAGCCTAGCCTACCTCACAGGGTTGTCCTGAGGTTTATCAGATTAGAAAGAACAAGCTGAGGTTGAAGGGTTAAATCCTCTCTCCTCCGCTGCACAGAGCCTTAGGCAAATCAGGGCTATGTGAGCTTGCAGGCTGTATTGCAAGAGTGGACTGAGAAGTGTGACCTTCGTCTCCTCTGTCTGATCCCTTCGCTATGAAGTTCACTGGCTGATGGGGGTAAAACTGAGCCGAGCCTGGGTGCTGACAAGAAAGTAGCCAAAATGGTATCTCCCATCTCCTCCTTTGAGCATTCCAAGAGAGTCAATACTGGGGTGGATCCGACCTCCACCCTCCCACTCCTCTGACCAATGTCGAAATCCTTCTTCCAGCCTAAGGAGACTTCCGCCAACTTAAGTGGCTCTTCCGCTGGAGGAAGAGTCCCTTAAATATGAGGAAAGCTCCTTAGGCTGAAGGAAGGTTCCTCGGGGCATGGTTAGATCCAGTCCACTGGGATAAAATTTAAGTTACCTTCACCTCTGCAGCAGTGTTCCCTCTAAGCTGAGTTAGTGTGAGCTAGCTCACAGTTTTTTAGCCTCTGGCTCACACAGTTTTGTCATAGCTCAGGAAGGATGGCTCCAGAGCAAACTAATTGATGCAGCAGCCAAATCGCTGGCTCACAACTTTAATGCTGGTAGCTCACAAAGTAGAACTTTTGCTCACAAGACTCCACAGCTTAGAGGGAACATTGCTCTGCAGGGTGACCTTGGGCCAGTCGCTCTCTGTCAGTCTTATCTAGTTCATAAACCTACTCTGGATCAAGTGGTTGACCCACATAGTCCCTGGAGGGAGGACTGCACAGAAACGAGATGCAGAGGAACGTCTTAAAACCAGGAAATCCACCACAGCCTCAAGATTTCCTTGGCTGGGAGGGCGGAGTATAAATCTGAGAAATAAATAAGTAAAAATAGAATAAAACCAGGTTGTTATTCTCCAAGGCCCTCTGGAGTAGGGTTCTGCCTGGAGAGGAGGTGGTGTTAATGTTAATTCTGTGGGGAGAGAGTCTCGCAGTCAAGGGGCAGTCCCTGCAAAAGGACAAGCCACCGACCTTACGTCTTACCGCTGGCTTCATACCCCCAGCCAGTTCCTGTGGATGGAAGCAGTCCTCCAGGGACTTTGTACCCAAGTCCTTTGGACCCATTTCAAAACAAGTTTGGTAATTTTCTTAATTTCTGTGAGAAGAGAGGTTTTATACCCCGCCCTTCACTACCTGAAGGAGTCCTGGAGTGGCTTACAATCACCTTCCCTTCCTCTTCCCACAACAAGGAGTTGTTCAAGAAGTTCAAGTTCCGCAGGGCCTGCAAGACAGAGCTCTTCCACCAGGCTTTCAACTAGGAGCTGCCCTCCACTACCGCCAACTATTACTATCAATAACATCTGTGGTGGGGGCCGGCCCTGTCGTGGGAGACTGGAATACTACTAAGTCGGGATCTTAGTATGTCATCTCATAGTACGCTCCCCTAACTCACGGATGGACTACCAAGGCGAGCACATTTAATATTGTATGATTGTTTTAACTGGTTTTAAATGTTTTATGCTAACCGGCTGTATTACGCCGGCAAATTATTATAAATAAATAGACACCTTGTAGGGTTGCCAGGTCCCATCGTCTCCCCAGCGAGGGGATTTGGGGGGCAGCCTGAGAAGGGGAGGGGTTGTCCCCAACCTGACATCATGCAGAGTGACGTCATCACGTCGGGGACACAGTGCCATGGACACATGTCCCCCCACTTTCCCCGAAGCATTTAAAGAGAACCTTCCCTTTAAATGGTTGGGGGAAAGTGGGTGCCACGCCCGCCTACCCTGCAAGCCACGAATCCGTGACCTGTGGGGCAGGTGCACTCAGTGCCCACTCCTTTCCCTTCCCCTTTCCACAACAGACACCCTGTGAGGGAGGTGGGGCTGAAAGAGCGGATGCCACCTGCCCTCCAAGCTGCAAATTTGCTGCTTGCGGGGCAGACACGAACGGCTCCTGCTCTTTCCAAGCGGGGCTGCAGATGACTGTTGGGGGCGGGACATCCCCAGCTGGCCGGTGTTTGGGGAGAGCCCCAAAAATCGGGATCCTCCGCCCCCACTTGGGGACTGGCATCCCTAGCACCTTGTGAGTTAGGTGGGGCTGAGAGAGCTCTGAGAGGACTGTGACTGACCCAAGGTCACCCAGCTGGCTGCACGTGGAGGAGTGGGGAATCAAACCCGGTTCTCCCAGATTGGAGTCCACTGCACTTAACCACTACACCACAGCGAGCTCTGTGGAATATGTTCCAAAAGTCTGGGGGAGGGCATGATCTAAAGGGTAATATCCAGAAATGGGTCTTCTGGCAGCTTAAAGACTGATTGTGTCAGAGCCCCAGTCAAGTCACTCTTCAGACACACTTTCTTGGTTGAAAGTTTTATTAGAAGGTATGAGATGTGCAGGGACTGAACTCTTGTCAGAACTGGGGTGCAAGGGCGGGAAATGGTGCATATAGTCACAATTACACATTCCATTCGTACACATCAGCATTACTGTCCAGACCATGAGAGATAGACGGTCCCCGTCTAGCTAATCAAAGGCACTTCTCCAAGGACACCTTCCCATGTGAAAGGAGCCTCTGGGGCTGCTTAGAAGAATGACTGAGGCTGGCACCGCTACTTCTACATACACTCACTTCCCCCCCCCCTCAGGAATGGCAAAGGGGAACAGGTTATAGCATAGGAGGCAAGCGTTACAACTGCAATGGATGGACTCTACAACAGCTCAGGTATCAATAAGGTACAAGGCAGTAATCCAGCAGGTACAGCTGGGCAAACTACCTGAGCCTGACAGATTGTGGCAGAGGCTTTCATAGGCTAGAAGCCTCCTCATCTAAAGTGCGTAAGGATCTGCATACGAGGATAGAGGAAGAAATTCCAAGCAGATAGACACAAATGTACCTCCTTTGACTGGCCTTCTGCATCCAAAGCTGGTGTTCTGCCACTGAACCGGGGTCTTCCAGCTAAGACCTTAGCCCATAGTTCGAGCTCTGGGATTTACCACGCTACTTTTTATAGAGTCAGACCCTTGTTTCATCTAGGTTAACGTTGTCTGCAGTCACACACACTAAATAATCCGCTTTCAATCCGCTTTCAGTGCACTTTGCAACTGGATTGTACTGTGCGAACTGGCAAAATCCAGTTGGAAAGTGCATTGAAAGTGGATGGAAAGTGGATTATTTAATGTGTGTGTGACCACCGCCATTCTGTCTTTTAACTGTGACTCTCCAAAGTTTCGAGCAGAGAAAGGTCTTTCTGAACACCTGGATTCCTTTACCTGGAGACTGAACGGGGGACCTTCTGCATTCAAAGCGGGTGCTCTAACCACTAAACCACCACGTTATAACGGTTTTTGGGATCCCTTTTTCAATACACGTCACAAAGCGACTGGTTCAGATCCCGCCATGGACCAGCCAGTGGCTTTCTCCACCCCCATGGTTCCCACGATACGGGAGATGAAGATGACAATTCCAAACTGCCGTACAGGGTCATTGTACTTTGAACACATGACAGTGTTGTGCTAAAGATTTCTATCCATACCCACCCACCCATTTTTGTCCTCGCAGACATCGACGAGTGCGACCGCCAGCCCTGTGGGAATGGCACGTGCAAGAATACAGTGGGGTCCTACAACTGCCTCTGCTTCCCTGGCTTTGAGCTGACCCACAACAATGACTGCATGGGTAAGAGAGTCCCGGCTGGCACGCTGCAGGTGGGAGAGGCCTTGGACATGCTTTTGGTAGGGATGCATTTCTCCTCGGATTTAGTGTTCCAAGTGACCTAGACCGTTTCCACACAGCATCCCCCTCCTATTATCCACTTTTTGAGGTTTCCCCCTTACTTTGCTCCGATCTTTTTTGAAAGAATGCAGCCCAGTGGCACTTTCTGGACAGGAAGGTGCACATTTTCAAAGGTCCCGCCCTCATTGGCACCAGTTTCCTTTCATCAGTCTCATGCAGTGCCCATTTTCCCCACTGTATCACCAGAAGGCGGGGGGAGGCCTTCTTTATTAAATCAATAGTTGCTATTGTGCTTTGTGCAAAACCATAATAATGTTGCCATGATCCACTAGTTCCTGCGGATTCTCAGGTTTCATTAGAAAGGGGGGGAAAGTAAGTCTAGCTCTTTTTGTTGTGGAGATATAAGGAGAAAGGTGCAGGCAGTTTTTGTCCATATTTCATAGAAAGGAATGAGGAGGAGAAGGTGCAAGACCTCATGAGACAGGCAGGAATGTACTGCTCAGTTAAACATGTGGATGTTCCATTGCTGCTGCAAATGCATTTCCATTCACCACAGTAACAAAAGCAACACAAAGAATTGCCACTGTGTGGATGCAGCCCTGATCTTGTTTTGAAAGTACAGCCAATGAAATACCCGTAACATGGGTATTCAGAAGTAGACTACCTCTAAGCATTCAGGTTCCATTCAGTCATTGTAGCAAATAGCCATTTATGGATAGCACCTCTGAATGTGTCTAAATCCTCCTTTAAAAGCAGACTAAACTCATGGCCATCACTACATCCAACAAGCTTATTCCTCACTGAGTGAAAAAGTACTTCCTTTTGCCTGTCTAGAATCTCCTGCCCGTCACCTTCATTGGGTGCCTGAGACAATACAATTCCAGATTTTGTACAGAGCATTGATCATGCACGGTTGCTCACAACCAGGGGTCATTTCATAGAAAAAGAGGTGCAGGAGCTCATTAGCATAACTTATTAGCATAACTTATTTGCATATGCCACACACCCTGACATCACCGGAGGTGTGTCAGAAGGCAACACCCACCGCTCAGGTTCCACTGGACTGTTTTGGATTGCTAGCTATGGAGGGGGGGGGACGCTCAGATCTGCCCTCATAGAGGAGGGAGAGCTTGTACCTGAAGGTGGGCCGGGGGGGGGGCTTTGCAACTTATTTGGCTGCTTCTTGCTCCTCGTGGCCCGACTGAGGGCTGCTGGGAGCAGGGGGGGGCTTGTTGCATGTGCCCGCCCCCTGGGCTCATTACTGCCAGAGCTCCGCTCCTGTGTGCTCCCGCAGGAAATAACCCCTGCTCACAATACTCCATCCCTTCACATATTTTCCCCTCTGTTACCTTTGTACAGATGTGTACTGATTAAATCCTGGGCATGATTGTATGCACTGGTGCATAAAGATTCTTTGGGGGTGGCCCTGACCTGGATAGCCCAGGCAAGCCTGATCTTGTTAGATCTCAGGCTGACCCTGGCAAGTACTTGGATGGGAGACCTCCAAAGAATACCAGGGCCAGGAGGCAGAGGCAGGCGATTAAACCACTTCTCTGAATGTCCTCCATGCCCCAGTAGGAACCTCCAGAGGTTGCCATGACTTCCAGGCACGGGCACGCACGCACACATGCACACACACACACATATATAAAAATGCAAAAATACCACCCCCCAAAATTAAAAGGATTATTTGGGGGTGGAGTGTGCAACAATAAAACTCCACATGAATAGAATCATACAAACTATTTTATCAGCGTACACAGAAGGATGGCCCAGGCTAGCCCGATCCCGTCAGATCTTGGAAGGTAAGCAGGGTCGGCTGTGAATTGTACTTGGATGAGAGGCCACCGAGGAAGTCCAGGGTTGCTACACAGAGGGAGGCCATGGCAAACCACCTCTGAACCTCTCTTGCCTTGAAAACCCCCCAGGGTCACTGTGGGTTTCCCCCCCATTCTCATTTTCCTTGCTTATAAGTTCCTGTTTCTTTGGGGGGGGGGTTTCCCCTCTTCTGCACATGTTTTGTTCCCTCTAGTGGCCGATTCAATATTACACCAACTTCTGTCCAGCATATCTCCCTGCAGATTTAAACTGCATGTTTTTATGACAAACGTAAAGCAGTGCAATTTCCAATCAACCACTAGAGGGAGCAAAAAAACCCCCAAAACAGGAATTTACAAGCGAGGAAAATGAGAATGCACAAAAGCCCCATAAGTCAAGCTGGGACTTGATGGCACTTTCCATCACCACAGAACAGGGGGAATATTTGCAAATCAATTGAAAGCTGCAGCAAGTTACATATTCTCCCATTTCTACATGAATTTTTGAAAATTCTCCTATTTAAAGCAGAAAGAGGCGGGATGGCACAGTTGGGGGGCAATCTGCTCGCTCTTTGTTTTTGAAAATGTTCACGCTTGCCTCCTTTCCCGTTCTCCCCACAGATATCGACGAATGCTCTTCTCTAGCTGGGCAGGTTTGCCGAAACGGACAGTGTATCAACAATATCGGCTCCTTCCGGTGCCTCTGCCAGGAAGGCTACGACCACACAGCAGATGGCAAGAACTGTGTCGGTGGGTGCCTTCTGAATATTGACTCCTTGAGATCCCATCTGAGTGGCATGGGGTCCGAATAGGGTTGCCGGGTCTTACCTTTCCTGCAGCGGGGGGCTCCTGGCTCCTCCTTGGGATGTCTTTGCCTCGTGCGCAAAGCGTGTGCAGTGCAATGACATCGCCACTAGTGATGTCATCATGAGAGACCTCCCAGTTGAGAATGATAAGAATATAGAAACAACCGGAGAGACGTTTTTATAATGCAATAGATACTATATTGAAATTTTATACAAATATCCACAAAGTGTAATTCAACATTTAAAATGCTAAGTTTATAAATCCATAGAAAAATCACCTAATAGTTCATACATAAGAATCACAATATGGAACGAAGCTTCCGGCTTGTGTCTTCGTTTGGATCCCAAACTTCCTCAGAAGTAAATTCTCTTATTCATCATTTTGCATTTAGTGAGTGTCGTCCATAATTTCCTCTTTGCTTTTCAAAGCTTATGTTCCAAATAGGAAACAACAACCTTCATGCTAGGCTCCAGTCCAGTCTGCTGCGCGCCTTGCATTCTAGCATTCAACAGCGCGCAGCAGACTGGACTGGAGCCTAGCATGAAGGTTGTTGTTTCCTATTTGGAACATAAGCTTTGAAAAGCAAAGAGGAAATTATGGACGACACTCACTAAATGCAAAATGATGAATAAGAGAATTTACTTCTGAGGAAGTTTAAGATCGAAACAAAGACACAAGCCGGAAGCTTTGTTATATATTGTGATTCTCTTAATACATTGTGATTCTTATGTATGAACTATTAGGTGATTTTTCTAAGGATTTATAAACTTAGCATTTTAAATGTTGAATTACACTTTGTGGATATTTGTATAAAATTTCAATATAGTATCTATTGCATTATAAAAACGTCTCTCCGGTCATCATGCTGGGGCCATCGCGCAGTGACACCCTAGTGTTCAGGGCAAAAACTCTATGGTAGCCATAGAGTCCCCCCCCCCCCCAAATCCAAGACGTTG